CGGAGCACCCCTCACGAGGCCCAGAGGGCCCCAGGGGCTCCAAGATTGTGCGAAAAGCTGGGGGCACCTTGGGCCAGGCGCACCTCTAGCAGTGGGGAAACCAAGTGGACATACATGCCGCTACTCCCTGGACTTCTCCTGGGATGCGTTCAGACCAGAATTTCGAGGCGAATCCAGCGGTGGCGACGAGGGCCTCCCATGGGGCCCAAGGAAGGAGAAAACGACGGAAGGGTAGCGGTATTGGAACCTTTTCCGACTAGCAGTGTAAGGATCCCTAACCCTTCGGGAGGGGACCTAAGTTAGGAGGGCTCACATCATTCGGGATAGAGGGCCTTTTTCCTGCAGACGTGTCAAGCCAACCACCCAGTCTGATCCCCCCTAGTGCAAGGACGGGGACCCAAGTAAGGCCGCATCTTCACCTGCAGTTGGGGATAAGGGTTCTTTTATCCTCGATGAGAACTGCTGTCGGTCCTTGTACCTGTACCCCATACACACGAAACCCTCCGCTGGCCAACGCACCCCAAAACATAAGATTACTCGAGGGCACCTTCCCCCAGGATGCACAGGAACCTCCTATATAACAACGAAGAACAATAGAGCACCCTCCCCGAACCGACCGCGATCTGATACGGCAGGTTCGTGTCGTGCCGACCCCAGCGTTGGTTCCTGACACCGCGCTGGATCGTTCAACCTTGAACGATCGGCCGTCTCCGCAACGTCCGATCGTTCAACATCGACCGATTCTGGGCCGCCGGCGGCGTTCAACCTTGAACGCCCGCGCTGGGGTCGCCGCCGGTCGACACGACGCAAACCTACCGTACCTCGGTTCGACCGTGCTTTCAAACAAACAAACAAAAAAAACATCGGGTCCGTTGGATCCAGCGGGCTGGTTTTGGCTCACAAAGTCCGGCCCCCAGCGGCCGTTCGCGGCCGCTCGGGACGCTCCCCCGGCACCCCCTGGGAGTGCTCTCGGCGAGGCGTGGCCGCTGGAGCGCACCCCGAGGCTGGAACACCGCCGAGGAGCGACGAGGACGTCCGAAAACATCAAAAACCTCGAACCTGAGCCGACCTCGATTTCAAACCTCGGTCCGACCAGTACAATGGAGGCCAGTCCACACGAAGCCTTCCGCAATAAACCCGACCCTGAGACCCCATGACGTCCATTGACTTTTGGTGTGGGATCGCCACACTCTCCATCGCAGAACCATCGAAACCCAAGAAACCCAGGGCATCCTGGAGGCGAGCAGGGGGTTTCTTGGCATGAGTCTCCACTGTAGTAGAGGCCTCCTGGATGGGGTCGGAGTACATGGGGTCGGAGGATCGCGCCGCATCGCCGATACATCGGCGATGCATTGGCGATGCATCGGCGACGTCAACGTGAAGCAAATCGGGCTCCACATCGAACAGTATCGCCGATGCGTCGGCGATGCATCGGCGATGCGTCGAGACCCTTCGACCTAATCTACTCCGACCCCATCTGGGAGGCCTAGAAATCCGCCGCTCAAACCTTGCAGGATCCTGCAGGATCCTGCACCTAAACCCGGGTCAATGCGACCCTGGCCCTGCAGGATCCTGCAAAATCCTGCAGGATCCTGCGCCCAAGCCTGGGTCAATGCGACCCTGGGCCTGCAGGATACTGCAAGCTCTGGCGCCCTGGGCTGACCCCCGCTCTGCCCTGACCCCCGTCCCTCGAGCCCCGGAGGTGGAGGAGGAGGAGGTGGAGGAGGAGGAGGAGGAGGAGGAGGAGGAAGACGAAGAGGAGGAGGAGGAGGAGGAGGAGGAGGAGGAGGAGGACGAGGAGGAGGAGGAGGAGGACGAGGAGGAGGAACTGCCCCCGCGTCTGCCCTGACCCCCCGGCCTCTCGAGCCCCTCCGCCGCCCGCCTCGTCTTGCGCCCGGCCTTCCGCGCCCCTGGCGCGGGCGCGCCGGGCGTCGCGGCGTGGGCGCCCCCTGCCCGAGCGGGGCCGGGCGCGGAGGGACGGCGAGGCCTCCGAGGCGAAGCCCGGACGAGGAGGAGGAGGAGGAGGAGGAGGAGGGAGGAGGAGGAGGGAGGAGCAGGAGGGAGGAGGAGGAGGAGGAGGAGGAGGAGGAGGAGTAGGAGGAGGAGGAGCAGGAGGAGGCAGGAGGAGGGGAGGAGAGGAGGAGGGGAGGCCGGAGGAGGAGGAGAGGAGGGGAGGAGGAGGAGGAGGATGAGGAGGAGGAGGAGGAGGAGGAGGAGGAGCAGGAGAGAGAGAGAGAGAGAGAGAAAGGCTGAGTGGAAAGTCGGGTGAGGGTAGATCGAGAATTCGAGCACGGACAGAACCGCTTCTCCGAGGCGAAGCCCGGACGAGGGGAAGTTCGGAGCCTGCTTTTCTTTAGATCCAGGCCAGCTTACTTGCATGGCGTTGCCCCCCCCCCCCCCTCTCCCCCCTCGCCCCTCTTCAATCGAGCACGAGCGTGCAAGCGCCTCTCGACTTGCGTGATTTCCGCACGTCGAATTGTTTTCGGCTTGCTTCAGACTCAGCCCCCCCCCGTCCATGCAAGTAAACTTGCCCGAATCCAAAGAAAAACAGGCACTCGGGTGAAGGTAGATCGAGAATTCGAGCACGGACAGAAACGCTTCTGTGAAAACGTAGTTCGGTGAAAACGATCTCGGACCCAAGCCCGGCGGGCGCAAGCCTGGGAAATATCACGGCAGCGACGCCCTCTCAAGAACCGAAAACGGACAATTCACTAATCGACGTGCCAGCGTGGAGGTTCTGTCCACCCCCGAGTAGATCGAGAATCTCTGAGATCCCACGACTCCGGAAAAAGATCTCGGGCGCCGCGGGCTTCTGTCAGAGCGCTCCGGAACGCTCTTAGAGCTATCTGGAAGGTTCTGGTACGAACATATCCTAGTCGTCGAGTCGTAGCCCCGTCCGATCCTCGGGTGCGCCAGCGAGTTGTGAGCATCGCTTGGCCGATCCCTGAGGATTGCGAGTTATGCTGTCCCCTCCGTACTTAGGGACCACATCCCAGAACTAATAATTTCGGGCACCCAGGAAGGTATCGAAACAGTGCCTGTCCGACAGCCTGGCGAAGTGTCGAACAACAATCGCCTTCCATAGCCCGACCCATGAAATCGTTCCAATTTCGGTGTTTCCACGGTGATCAACGCTGAAGTAGGTCGAACACACGCGAGAAGGCACAATATCCTTCCGAGGGCCACACGAGCGACGATCAAAACCGGAGCTCGCGCGGGATGACGCAGCGACCCTACTCGGTGTCTTGCGCGGTGGCTTACGCGGGCCGCCAGCGCGGCACGCCACATTTGAAGCGAGGGCGCTTACGCGCGATCTTACGCGAGCAACTTACGCGCCAATGTCGATACAGACGACCACGCTTTTCTGCGTCGCTCACATGTCCGTAGGCTTGTCGAAGGCATGGGTCGCTAAGCACAGAACGCAAAACACAGAACACAAAGGGCGCAAAAATCGCCAAGGCTGACCTACTAAACAAACACACCCGTATCCGCTTTGGTTCTCGGAGGAATCACAATAACTTAAACGTCAAATGTTCGGTTTCCGCGCGGATTTCTTCGATCGGCGCAGACCCCCCCTGGTGGCGCCTCCAGCACCGCCCCTGGCGGGGTCCAGCGCCGATTCAAGAAATCAGCGCGGAACTCCAACAGCTCACGTTACCCGTCGGTCGGAAGCACGAGGTAAAAAAACATGAAATAGGAAGGCGCGGATGAAGTAAACTGCATTCTGGCCCTCCCAGAGAACAACCAAACACGGCAACGGCATATTGGCTGTGGAAGCAGGAAGGCTCGAGAAGTAGACTGGGATCCGAAAGTCAAGAAATACCTCACGCCCGTACAGTAGGGGCCCGACTATGAAAAACCTTCCACCAGAAACCGAACCCTGACACCCAAGGACGTCCATGGACGTTTGGTACAGAAACGTCACGCTCTCCACAGCTAAACCATCGAAACCCAGGAAACCCAAGGCACCTTGGAGGCGAGGGTGCTTCTTGGCATGGGCCCCCACTGTACGATGTCTAACATCAAGGGCTTGCCTCGAGCCGACAACGGCCGCTGTGCGGCAGGCGGCCTCTTGTCACAAACGGAAAACGTCCGCGTCGACACCGCCGGCGGGCCCTGCCCTAAAGGAGCAGGAAATACGGTCGGGCATTGCACCATTTTTCCCCGAACCCTTTGGGGGAGACCTACGTTAGGAGGGCTCAAATCATCCGGGATAAGGGGAGCGTTTCTGCAGACGTGTCACACCAAACCGCCCAGTCTCACCCACCCCTGGTGCAAGGATGGGCACCTAAGGCCGCATCTTCACTTCGCCGTTGGGGATAAAGGTTCTTGTTTCTTCGATGGGAGATGCTGTTGGTCGTTGTGCCACTTTTCCTGCGCCCATTTCGATCACTCGATGCTACCCGTTGCCCACGATACACTAGAACATCCGATAAACACAAACAACGCTCGGGTTATCGCAGGCTGATGGGGGAAAGATAGTCGTCCCGGGGAACAAGTTAAAGTTTGGGCTGGGGTTCGGGCAGAAGGAAAATCAAAAATTCGAGTTCGAAGCCCCAAAAAACACAACGTTCAAAATAAGTTCAAGACGCCCCCTGGAACAACGACGACTGTTTCCGAACTTTCTAACGTTTGAACTTCTTGAAATGTTGAGCTCTTTCTATCACGTTCTAACATTATCGAGATGGTTGAACTGTTGAACATGTATTCTAACTTGTTTTTGATGATTTGTTAGGAGATCATGTGGCCCCCCTTTCGTTTTTGGTTTAAAAGAAAGCGGATGCTGGAAAGCGCGGCGTCAACAACGCCAACGGCAATCACAACGGCGACGACGATGATCGAGACAGTTCGCAATCGGTTCGGAACGCTGCGGCATGGCATTCACGCGAGGATCCTTCTTTCCCGACATAACTCAAGCTCCGCTTCAAAGAAGAACTAAGGACTTCAATGTAAATGCGCCACTGGATGGCAAGCGCCGTGTCCTAGACATAACATCACACCTGGAACGCGGTCACAAACGCCGCGAAAGGCACCTCCTGCTCAATGACCTTGATGTGGGTGCGGAATCTGCGCTCGGCAAAGAGCCTCGACCACGTCTTCTTGTTGGCCATCGCTTGATCAATGACCAGTGAAGCTTGATCAGTCCCGCCGCCGCGGCGTCGTAGCGCATCCGGGCCCATCGCTTGATCAACGACCATTGAAGCTCCATGCGGTTGGTCGTGAACTTTCTGTCGTTCGTGATCTCGCCAACGCTGTGGTTCACTACCTCGCGCGGCAGCATCCGCTCGGCGAGGCCAGTGTCACTGCGGTACTGCTTCGCGGCCGCTATGGCCCCCTTCTATTTGTCAGAGACAATGATGACCCAAGCGGGCGGCGACAGCCCCTTGATGTTGTCCAAGAAGTCCTTCTTGCCCCTGGGCTTGCCGCCGTGGGCCTTCTCCACCGACGTCAAAACTTTGACGGAGAACAGATGCGGCGAGCCCTGGGCGACGGCGCCCCAGAGCTACATCTTATCTTGCGTGATTCGCCAACTTGGACAGCTTGCCCGCGTGAGATGATGTTCTCGATTCGGGCTGCTGGGGGCGTGGGCCAAGCGGGGCGCTTCATAACAGGCCGCTTCTTTACGCCAGCCCGCGCTGGCTGACTCCCCATCGAGCGCTTGACCCGACGCTTCGGCGCAGCTTTCGCGGCAGCGGGGCGCTTGCGCGGGCCGCTGTCGAACACGTCGGCGAAAACGCTAGAAGACTCCATCTTCGTGGCCATGTGCGCCTCGACGCCTTCTTCGAACATGTGGATCCAACGCTCTACTGTCGCGCGGGCGTCAGCGCTCAGTTCAGACTTGAGCACGCCAAGGTTGTAGCCGGGGCACCACATCACGAACGAGCCGGGTTTGCTCTCGGGGGCGTACCAACCAAAATGGTGCCCGTCGCCGCCGACGCCACGTCGCCGCTGCACGCGTCGCAACCGCCGTCGTAGCGAGATCCGCGCCGGTTTAAGCGTACGGCATCGCCGCGTCGATGCTTCACGCTCAGCGCGTACGCCCGCTGCATTCAGCGCAGCAGTGCGTCTTGCGAGCCATGCCGAAGCGCTGGCAGAAAAGGAAAGCGCGAACCGCCTCGTCCTCCAAGTAGCTCCCAGGGTCCAGGAATTCTGCGTGTGGATGCCCACTCCTACCACATCAAAGCCAGGAACAGGAGCCCCAAAGGAAACATATGCATAGCTTCCTGCTTATACACTCCTCAGTTCTCGGAGGTCTTCCGTGCGGGAGAAGAGGAGACAAAGGGAGGACAGGGAGGAAATGGGCCATGGCCGAGGGGGCATCCATTTGTTGATGCCCCTCGCTGCCGCATCAAAGCGGCGGAAGGGTGGGGGGGGCATCCATTTGCGGATGCCCCTGCCTACCACCGTCGAGGCCGTCGTCGTCGTCCTCCTCCGCCTCCTCCTCCTCTTCCTCCTCCTCCTCCTCCTCTCCTCCTTCTCCTCCTTCCTCCTCCTCCTCCTGCTCCTCCTGCTCCTCCTCCTCCTCCTCCTCCTCCTCCTCCTCCTCCTCGTCCTCTTCCTCATCCCAAAGTAAAGCCCAAGAAAAAGGCGGGGAACAAAAACAATCCTGAGGGACTTCCCCCCGCTTACCCACCCCATCCCCCAGGAAGTCCCCCTAGATTGGTTTTGTTGCTTGCTTGTTTTTTCCCCTAAGGTGTTGCGTGCTTCTGTTCCGTAGAGAGGTTGGGATGTGGAGGAGGGGGAGCGGGAAGAGGAGGGAGGAGAGGGAGGAGGCGGAGGAGGAGGAATCCTCCGACCCCATCTACTCCGACCCAATCTGGGAGGCCTAGAACCTACAAAATCCTGCAGGATCCTGCACCCAAGCCCGGGTCAGTGCGCCCCTGGCCCTGCAAGATCCTGCAAGATCCAGCGCTCTGACCGACCCCCGTTTGCACCAACCCCCGTCGGGGGGGGGATGCCAAAGGAGGCGGAGGAGGAGGAGGAGGAGGAGGAGGAAGAGGAGGGGGAGGAGGGGGGGGGACGAGAGAGGAGGAGAAGGGGGAGGAGGAGGAGGAGGAGGAGGAGGAGGAGGAGGAGAAGGAGGAGGAGGAGGAGGAGGAGGAGGCCTAGACTCCTGGACCCCCTCCCCCCTTAGAGAGAGCGCTCGTGCCCGGCGCCTGGCGCGTCCACCGTGCGGCCACCCGCGCCGGCGGGCGGCTGCGCCTGCGGAGCAGCACGAAAGCGATGCGGGGGGGGGGGGGGGCGGCCGAGCCGACCCCGGGCCGGTAGGAAGAAGGAAGGGCGGCAGCAGCACCGCCAGGGCGAAGAGATGCGAGGAGCAAGGGGGGGTCTCCCTGGTGGTGTGGTCCCCCCCTCTCGCTCGAGGCATCCCCAGTCTCCAGCTCGGGGGGGCATCGTGGACCTCCTCGCTGGAGGTGGCCCACCTGGTGGTGTTGGTGTCGATTGTCCTACCTCCGACGCCAGAGCAACCCCAGACGCAGACATGATCGCGTCGAACAAAAAATCACGATGGGAGAGTTTTGGTCATTTTCGGCCTCCAGGGGTTCTCGCCGGACCTCGGGACCGTCAAAAACGACTCGGGATGAGAAACCGGTCTGGGGGAAAAGGTCGGGACTTCCGGGGACCGCGTATTGACGAAATCAGGACGTCGCATGTCTGGGGCCGAACAACATTTGGGCGGTTAGGTTTTGTGCATTTTCGGGCTCCAAAGGCCCTCCACGGGCTTCGGGACCGTCAGGAAACGGCTCTGGACGACAAACTGGCCCTGGGGAAGTGGTCCAGACTGGAGCCTGTTGTTTTTCTTCGGACAAGTTTACTTGCATGGGCAGGGGGGGGCTTGAGCCTGAAACAAGCCGAAAACAACTCGACGTGCGGAAATCACACAAGTCGACAGGCACTTGCACGCCCGTATTCGATTGAAGATGGGCGAGGGGGGGAGGGGGGGGCCAACGCCATGCAACTTTCCTGGTTCTAAAGAACATACAGGCTCCTGGGGGTCCACGCATCGAAACGCTTGGATCGCTGGATGCCTGGAACCCCGGGCAACGGTGCCCTCTGGTCAGATGCTCCTTCTGGGGACGCTCCTGGAGCTGCTCGCTCCACTCCTGCGTCGACGCTGCGTCGAGCGCTCGTCGGCTTTGATAATCGAGCTGGAACCGAACTGGAACCGACTTGGAGGCAAACCAGAGTCGACCCGATCCCTGCGGTGGGCCCAAGGAGGGTCCCCCCAACCAAACGAGCATCGAACTTTGTCGCATAGCTCTCGGATCGTTGCATGCGACGCGACAAGTTTAGCGACCCCCCGAGGCCGCGCACCCGAGGCCGCTACGGTGGGGGGCCTGACCACAAGAAACCTTCCACAGGAAGCCCAACCCTGAGACCCCGGGACGCCCATGGACTCTTGGCGCGGGAACGTGGCGCCTTCCACGGCAAAACCATTGATGCCCAAGAAACCCAAGGCACCCTGGAGGCAAGCAGGGTGTTTCTTGGCATGGGCCCCCACTGTGTGGCGAAGCGCCACCTTCCCTAGCGTCCGCCGAGATGATGTGCTTGATCCTCGGCCCCCAACTTTGCGACCGCTCTCCGCGGGGCGACATCTCGCCCCAGATCTAATTTCTGATGGCCCACGAGCTCGGAAACGGCCTCCGAGGGTCGACATATAGGAAAACACCGCCAGCTCACGAACCTCATCCGACCCTGTCGGCGTGTGCGAGACGCTGTCGTCGTCGTCGTCGTCGTCGTCGCTGCCTCCTCCATTTCCCTAGGCCCTCCTCCGCATCCTCCTCCTCCTCCTCCTCCTCCTCCTCCTCAAGCGCGCCAACTCCCAATTTCCCTGGGCATTCCTCCTCGACCGCGCCAGCCAAAGGGAATTGGAGAAACGTCGCACTTGAGTTGAAAAGAAACCTCTTCCCTTTGATCCCTTCCCCGCAACGGGGGGGTGGGCTGGATAGGGGGGGTGGGGGGGGGATCCCGGGTCAGAATGCACTCCCTTTTCCTTCCCTTTTCGACAACGTTTCTGCTCCATTTGGCACTGTTTGGGCAATTTACGTTCAGGACGGTCCAGGAGGGCCCTTAAACGGTCAAAGATCGCTCCAAGACGGCCCACGTTGCCCTCGAGAAAGCCCTTGAAACTCCAAGACGCCCCAAGGGAGCTCCACCAGGACAAGGACGGCCCCAAGAGATCTAAATCATTATGTCTTCTCACACTTGTCAATGTTTGTCGCGATCTCGCCTTTGTGGGCTTCGGACGCTCCCAGACGGCCCAGGAAGTCCCCAAGATCGCCCCCAGACGGCCCCAGAAGCCCTCACAGCGATGAGAGGAGACGCGCGGAGCTGCGGATTCAAAGAGAGGACCCAACACACAAAGGGGTTGGGAACCCCAAAAAAAAACCAAGAGCTCCCAAAACGTCACATGAGTAACATATCCCCTCAATCAAAAACCGCCGACCCTGTCGGCGTGTGTGTGAGAGACGTTTTTGAGTGTGGGTCGTCGTCGCCACCGCTCACCTTTTCCGTTTGAATCGTTGTCGTCGTCGTGGCCGTCGTCGTCGTCGTCGTCGCCGTCGTCACTCCCCACCCCTTTCCCTGGGCCATCCTCGTCAAGCGACCCAGCCACACGGAAATCGAACAGCGTTGTAATTGAGTCGAAGGGAAGGAAACCTCTTCTATCTGATCTTGTCCCTACCGATAGAGGCCTCCTAGATGGGGTCCGAGTTGATGGGGTCGGACGATTGCGCCGCATCGCCAATGCATCGCCGATGTATCGGCGATGTCGGCGTGGGGAACCACGGGCCCCGCATCGAGCCGCATCGCCGATGCATCGGCGATACGGCGCGATCCTCCGACCCCATCTACTCCGACCCCATCTAGGAGGCCTAGAACCGAAGGGAGGGGGGGGGGGCCATACGTATGGGGAGGTCCGAAGATGGTCCTGGGTGGGGTCGCCGGGGAGAGCCCTCGGGGGGGCCCGGGCGGTCGTGACCCTCCCCCGAGGGGGTGGCCCCCCCGGTTCGAGTAGGGGATCGCCTGCAGAATTGATGTGCCCCCAGAAGTACTCCAGATTTCGTAATAAAGGGAGGGGGGGGTTCATTTCGGGGGGGGTCTCTTCCAGGCTATCTTGGAGGGCCTGGGGGGTCTGGGGACGATGTTTTGGAGGGTTCTCCCACGGGGGAGGTCTGAAATGGCTTGTCTTGGAGGGTCCAGACCCCCTCCCTTTTATTACGAAATCTGGAGTACAGAATTGATTTGCCCCAGATGTAATTTCCT